CATATGTGGGTTCTATTCCTACTTGATGCACTCTCAGAGATCTCGCCTAACATTTTGTAAGTTCAGTCAGTTGGGAAGCCTCTATGTGTGTATGAAAAATGGAATCACAGCTACTGCAGCCTCAAAAAGACTAAATGTTGAATGAAGCCTTATGTTTATTAGTTGATAACACAAAGGAATGAATGAATGTTGGAGCAGCACAATGAAATTCGAAGCTTTTATCTGAGCTAATAGGGGTAAAGATGTGCGAGATGACGACTGGAAGACAACCTGTATCACACGCTCACCATATAATCACTGACAGATAGATGCATGACTGAAATATGACAAGTTTACAGTGATAGCAATGAAAGGAATGAGTGTGCTGCATGGAGCATGGATATCTAGTTCCACATATTGTGAGAAGAATGAGCGGCGAGTGATATCACCAAACAGAATATCATCGGTTGGGTATATGTGACTGTCACGAGTTCTACTTCTATCTGAAGGTGACATGTAGGAAGGAGATCGTGTGGGGAGTAGAACATCAGAGATTATAGCCCATCGTGCTTCCAGTTAGGTCAGACTACAGAGTTCACAGTGGAACGTCGATGTTTCTCTCAGACACCGGTGAAATCATAATTATGGTGCTCAACAATAACCCTGATCACAATATATATATATATATATATTTATATACAGACAGAACTCACATTCAATATAAATAAAATCCGCGATGGCGTTATTTTCCTTTTCAAAATTCGTATTAGTTGGAAAGGATCATAATATGATGTTTGCTGTGAATCATCTTTATTGACGAAGGTTCCATGTTCCCAATATCTTCTCATTTATTCCGATTGACGAAATTGTTGAACAAACTGTTAGGGAATATAAATTGAGATTGACAGTCTACTTGATTCTGTGAACAAATGTTCACTGTGTATGCTTAGAAATGTGAGTCAGTGTTCTCTGGAATGATTTAAATAATTACAAACTGGTGTGTTTATAATGTGATTTATCTACTAGGTGCATATGCTGCCATGTGATTGGTTTTCGTTTAGATTTAGTGGTAATTGATGTGTTGTCTTTGATTTTATGTTAGTGTTGAACTATGGTCAGCCGAATGCTCTATTCAACCCAGAGAACTTTGTTTCTCTCTAGTTTCTTGTCGATCGAAGGAAAGCTACCAATTAGAGCGTTGTATTGTGCACATTGGTTGGACATCAGACGACAGTATTCAACTGGCTGTGAAATCAGGCAGACATTGAAGTGTGTGGTGCTATGGAACATAGAGCTACAGCTGGTTCATTACTCCAATTCACTGTGTTCGCTGCCCTGCATTTTCAGCTCCAAGATTTGCTATAAATTGTTTCCCTCCTAGCCTCACGATGTTCTGCATGTCACTTCTGGAAATACGCTTAACTCGTCGCTACCAACGGCCTGACTGGAGTGTGGCGTCACGCAATGGTCTTCTCAGTGACTCTCCAGTGGCTTTGTCTGCAACCTCTTTCGCACATTTGTCGAGTAATAAGTTGTTAGTTAGTTTGTTGTCTATCAGAGTTCCTTGTGGCTAATACCTTTTGGTATTCAGCAAGGAGTTGGCGAAGTAGACTAGTATTGACATAAATGTGCAGTGTAACTCCATTATAGATAAGTATTGCTCATAATCAAATTATGTCACTCACTTGATATGACGATGAGGGTTGTGGATTCAAAATCCGAATTCTGTTACTTATCCGGTCATACCATATGAGAAATAGCTTCACATGCAATTATATGAGCTGCTCAGACCGGCTCAGAGAACACTATTAATTGCAAATCATCCACCTGAGCTACAAATCGTCTCTATTATTTCAAAATAGCTTCACTTATTTACCTTCATACAATGTGGTTGGAGTTTTCGAAATTTGGTTAGAACGTGAATAGGGTTCGGTGTTGGAACCGCTGTCTGAAAATTTCTACACGACTGGTCTATAAAAGTAATGTGTTACTACCTACAATAAATAGTTTTACATGTGCCACAAATATCACTTACGGGTGATTGGATTGCGCCATGGCATTAGTACTTACAATATAGGTGGAGTAGTGATTCATCAAACACCACGTAAACTTCATTTAGTAGGGTTGGTATTGTTTAGCTTATCTACAGCATTACTAGCACTCTACATACTCCTCAAGTTCTGTACATAAAGAAAGAAGGCGAAATACCCATCTCTGTGCAGAAGAGAATATTAAAAATGGATGCAGCACTGAAAGGCGATCTCCAAGTCGACAGTCTAAGGGGGCGAATATCAAATGTCCTCAAAAGAGTATTCGTCTGGATACAATGGGCCCAAACCAATTCTGTTTAGCAACGTTCAATTCCGTGCTATCAAATTTCACACAATGTTACGTAACGTTATAATTCTACTCGATTTACCTACTAATCCTATAATTGCACACCCCTTCCAAGTTCTATACATTCTATGAATTATTCTACATATGACAATAATTGTTTCGCTACTTGACATTTGACTATGATTATAACCACAAATATTTTCATTTCATTTCATACTACTATTATTATTTTATGCATTCACACCTATGATTCAATTCCCTCACGGGATATTATTTCTTGAAAACCATATATATACGATTGTACAGCTTGATAATAAATTCGTTGAAAAGACTCTCTTCGTTGGATCACTTGTTTTGATTTTTCTGTTTATGATTATTACCATTGCATGAATTTCTCTATTTGTCTATTTGTGAGAGGAGATAAATTGGTGCAGTGTGTACAAAGACTGAAAACGCCATCCTGTATGAATACTGATGGCGTGGAATAAAGTGATTATGATTAGAATAATCAAGCAATTTTATCAACGCTCATACACCATTCAGCCACGGGACCCGATTCATTGGCCAGCCCGTGAACTCCAACTTCTAACAATTCGTGATTTAGCGCGACCACCAACCAATTTCATCGGTGGGAAATCCATCTTCACACTTGACTGGATGGACCTCACTGGTCAAGATTCCTCACTGGAACTCAAGGATACTCCGTCCTGTAGCAAGTCACTAGCGAGCATCAGATTAATTTTCAGTGGATAAGATTCGTTTAGGCGAGCGCCTGAACGGTGTATGAGCTTGTCTTGTAACCGGAAAGTCCAGGGTTCGAACCCGTGTGGTGGGTGCGTAGTGCCGATGATTCCCAAACTAGGACGAACCAGCTGTCCAGTATTCCCTAGTTTTCAATGGTTCTCTAACTGATATCAATCCCT